GACTTGCACAATTCCATAAGCGGTATTTTGTAAGAATTTCGCATTTCCCTTCATCTCGCCTCACTTGTTTTCGCTTATTTATTTTTTGTTTACCTACACCGACAATCCACCTAAAATCAACAGATGAATGTGGTATCAATCAAATTTTCTCGAGTAAATGCATTTTCCTGCTAATATTTGAAGCGGTTTTGTTATAATATGCTGCCGCGTTAATGGATTGGTAATTTATTTTTAGCATTTTTTTTTTGTTTCATCACACACCAGTACAATGTGGCTAATACTCGTTTCGTTGGCAGCAAACTTGTGTTGTTTGTGAATGGCTATTATTTATTATTTCTTCGATTTACTGATTGAAACAAATAAATATACTCTTCTTAATTAATAATGATTTTGGCAAGCTAAAGGAATAAGTTGTTGGAAATATAAATGTATAATGAAAGGAACGATTCAAATGAAATGAGATTGATATTAGAAGTTTCCGAGTGGTGGGCTTTCAACGCTTTCATATTTTGGAAAAATTAGTGAATTTCAACGAAGCTATAAATTGTTCTAGACACATACACTCCCATGCATTTGAATGGGGACAATGCTTTTCGCTTTTTTCTGGGTTATTTTTCTTTTATTTAATTTTCATTACTTTTTCTATTAAAATACAGTTCATTCTCTAACAAAAATCTTATAAGTAAATGCAAGTTTTAATTTTTTTGTTTGTAGCCCATTCAGTTTTATTACAATAAAGTGCCAGTTTGAAGTATATAGTTACAAATTGGCGTTGAATTGTTTTTTTATTTTTTTATTTTTTACTGCCGCTTTTTTGCAATTTTTTCCAGACAACGAATGCCCCCATTTTTTTATGGAAAAAATTGTGGGAGAGCATCAATAAAAAAATTTTCTAAAATCAACCGTAATTTGTAACTACTTTAAAATGGATACGCATTTCTGAAAAAAAAGTTTGAAATTTTGGTGAATATTTTTTCTTCAAAGTTTAAGCTTTGAGTTCATGTTAGTTAATAAACTGTATTTTAATTGAAAAACAAGTAATTTTTAAACAAAAAAAGCAACCGACTTCAACGCGCACATAAAAATTTAGGAGGATACTATCAAAGGCGCGAGTGTCACAATTTAAAAAAAAGAAGTCACGCTACTTTGACTCTTCATAATTTCTTTTCTATTGCAAGCACATAACTCTAACGGGCTGCATTCGATTCTCCTCTCCAAAAACTACAAATACTTCATTATAAACTCAAACATGGGCAATCAACACACCAAATTTTGCAACGTAAAAATAAAAAAATAATAGGAGAGTCACACTTTTATTTGTGAAAATTTCCCAATGTTATTTCTAAATTATATGTATGCATATTTGGCTAGAAAATATGTGGTCCTGTTTTTTTGCATTTACATAATCTACACAACATACACAGGCGGTCATTAGAATAGACTCGCCTTACTTTGAAGAGTTTTGGCTATATTTCCATGGTTTATTTTATGTTTAATATTTTATTTTCAAACTTTATACAATAATTATAAAAATTCGACAAATTTTCACCAAATTTTTTAATTTAAATTTTAATTCCGATCACTGGATCACGAAGAAATTAACGGTACTCCTAAATTTTTATGTGCGCGTTGAAGTCGGTTGCTTTTTTTGTTTAAAAATTACTTGTTTTTCAATTAAAATACAGTTTATTAACTAACAAAAACCATATGAACTCAAAACTTAAACTTTGAAGAAAAAATATTCACCAAAATTTCAAACTTTTTTTTCAGAAATGCGTATCCATTTTAAAGTAGTTACAAATTACGGTTGATTTTTGAAAATTTTTTTATAGATGCTAGGACTTACCGTTGCTTTTTGGCAGTTTATGTTCGGAAATTTTTTTTGTATAAAAAAAATGCGGAGCACCGTCAATGAAAAAAAAAACAAAATGCCATAAATCAACGGTAAGTCCAAGATACTTAAAATTTGCAATTTGCTTGCTAAAATTTAATGGGCTACAAAGTTGAATACCAAAATTTTGTCTAAAGATGCTTATCAAGAAGTTAGAAATTTTGGTCAAACTTTGCCGATTTTTCATAATTTTTGCACGAAGTCTTAAATTTGGTTTATATCGTGTTTGTTAAGTAATCAGCTATACTTTCATAAAAAAATAATAAACATTAAATAAACTAAAGAAAAATAGCCAAAACTTACTAAAATGCTGTGTCCCAGTTTTTATTTGGTTCCCTGTATGTGTATCTCGGTAACCAATTTATCAATTTGTACCAAACTCAGTACGTTGGCATAAAAAAGCTATATTTTGAATATTTTCGAAATCGGACTAAAATTACGCCCACTTTCGATTTCCAAAAAAAAATCGTGTAAAAAACGTTAAAAACGTTGCTTTAAAATGTTACCCGCCGTTGGATGTTGTATTCTAGAAGCTAAAGGAACGTACACTAAAAATTTCAGACAAGAGCTCACGATTTAAAAAAAATATATTTTTTCCACAAAAAAATTCGAAGTTTTTATCTTTAAAAATATCAGCAACGTAATTAAATTGTAAGTTTCTGCATGAAAACTCGAATTTGGACGAAACAAAAATGTCCAAAATATGAAGTTAAGTTAAGTTACGTAAATTAAGTGCAGACTAACTAAGCTTTAGGGCTACAATCCATTCATTTCACTTCTTCATCCAGTTAAATGGACCTAAATTCCCCGCGGACATTTTTACAAGTGAAATTAGGCCGCAATCAAAAAATGAAAGTAGGCCGCCGAAGAAATAAGAAAATGAGAGAATAATAAGACAAAATGTTAACTGGATGAAATAAGAAGACGGCCTTAATTCGCGCGGTCTTACTTCCATCAACCCCACGCGGTTCTAACGATATCAATAAATACATATGAAGGGGTTAGAATCAAAAGGATCTAAGTAGATCTGAAATTTTTTTGCTAAAATTTAAAGTTAAAGTTGATTACTTATTGTAAATTCAGGATAAATGCATTTGAAATGATTCTTGCCTAAATTAATGCAAGTTAATTAGCTAATTCAAAGAATGTTTACTCTTTGTCACCAAATAAATACTATATTTAACTATACAAATATGGGTGTAACTTATATTTAAAAAAAAATGTAACTTAGACCCTTATGATTCTAACCCCCTCATATGTACTTATGCCAGAATTTTTCTGTTGCCGCTGTCGGGTTTGAAATATCGTATGTATGTTCTGAAACCTCAAACGACTCAAAAAGAGCTTTGATAGTTGTGTTTATTTGATCAAAATAAATTTACACACGACTGTATTGAATTAGGGTGCGTGGAACTTAGTTGCGTAAATAAGACATTTCCATCAATTATAGTTTAGAAATAAAAGATACTGATGCTTTGGCTTGATGCATTTCTGAACGCACCCTTATACTGTACAGTATGTATATAGTCCTTGTAAAGCAACTAAGGAGGGTTAGAGATAGTGTTTTGTCAAGAGACAAATTGGTTTCGGAGTTGTGTACTGCAGATGCCCGAATCAGTTATATCTCCAAACAAAAAAAATACATACATCATTTTTAATGTAATTAAATGTCGATCAAACTTAATCGATAATAGAACGATCCCATAGTTGAACGCACTTCAAACAAAAATTTAAAATTATTAAATTTAAATTATTATTTTTTTTATTTTTTGTTTTTTTAATAACTACATATGTACATATTTATTATTTTGACAAAATTTTGCATATTTGCTCCTAACTCTGTTTGACCATTTAAAAAAAAAAAAACAAGTCACCGCGATGTGTATTGGATTCATTTAATAATGAAACGAAACAAACCACATTCTGATGTTTGGGCTTTCTACATATTTTTTGCTTCGTAGACCGCAAAATAAATTATACACAAAAAAACTAAAAAATATGACTTATGAACAAACTTCTCAAATTACACGACAAAGCGTATGTACTCAAGTGTCGACCTATGGCAGACGCATCAAGTCCTGTCTGGTGCCAAACTGTCTGGGACGACGCACAACGCAGACATACTGTCGCCTCTGAGCCGAACACTGGCAGATCGAACATTCCAATGCCCACAACAACGACCCACTCTGAGAAGAACTAAATTACTTAGTAATTTGATGCTTTAAGATGCGTAAAATAGTATAAACTTCAGTTTGGGCAAAATGCACTGGCAAACAGAGAAGCAAACAGACACACGCAAAAACAAAAAAAAAAACACAAAAATGATACAAATGCAGGAAATGCAGCCACAGCAGCAACAACAATAAACAAGAGCAGTGGGCAACTGAAAAAACATAGTATAATAAGAAAATATGAAAACAATAACAAATTGCAGTAAACTAACCAATTGTATGTAATTGGAGTCATTTGCAGGGACATGTGCTGACGATATCCTGCAACTTGAATATTTGAATGCCCTTAAAATGAAGACAGTTTAATAGGCATATGTTTGTTGCTTTGTAGGTGCGTATGTGCGTAGCGGTAAAGTACTTGAACAGGAATTGACTTTGTGTTAGTGTGAGCGTGGACTCAGACTCATTAACCATATTCCATACGCAAAGAAAGAAGAAAAGCACTTGAAATTGCGCGTTCCATCTGGTTTCCAGAGAAATCCGTTGTTTACGTGATTGCACGCGAAGCAAGGCGCTCGACCAGACACTGTATGTACATACATAGGTTTGTGCATGACATCCTTTTGCATCCACTCATGCGAGAGTATCAGTTTTCAAATTACCAACTCGCCAATACGTTGTAGTATCTACACACATATACATACATACATAACTGACGAATTAGTTACTTTCTACTTTGGCTTTTAAAAATTTCACTGCTGAATGCATCGGTGACAGTCAAAAAATCAAAGTTGTTTGTTGGAGGCTGTTACCCATCACCGCTACAAATGCAGCAATTATTCACTTAAATGTGTTAAAACTGTTACATATGAATGATAAAAACATTCCACTCACACAACAGCACTCTTTCATTTCATTTCTCCTCTTCTTTTTTGCAGAATACAAGCAACGTTTTCCCACCATCAACTCACCATTACTGGAGCGTATCCGTAAGAGACGCGCCTTTGCCGATCCTGAGCTGAATTGGGTAAATCTTGATACAGCAGCGTTGCTGAACACAACGACGCCTTTGACTCAATTTCACACCGCCGACATGTCTCACCCACCCATTGGCATGCCAGCTGCTTCTCTACCACATGGCATGCCCAACGCTTATTTGGTTTCACCGCCACTGCCGCCCATCTTTGTCACGCCTACTTTGTTTACATCTTCTGCGCCTGAAGCATTTCCCTACTGCAGTCGCTTGGAGAACTACTCTTCTGCATCGCAATCCACCTACCCTGATAATACTAATCTATCGATCTTGAATGTCAACCCGTCATCAGCTTTGCTACCATCAACGAAAACTCAAGAAAACATGCAAACCGATCACACGACAAGTGACGAAATGATTACGCCATTAAAGAAACCAAAAATTAATTTTTCCATAGAATCTATTATTGGTGTTAGTATATAGAGTAAATCGTATTGAAAATGCAGAAGTTATTTCTCAAAAACTGTAATACATAGTGTATATAAATAGTTAAGTAATTTTGTTTGTAGGCACTTTGTGTGCATATGTATGTATGTATGTATTAGGGTGGTACGTATGGGAGCACCCCTTTATTTGGTTCTACGTACTAAAGACATGCACGAAAATATAAAAAATTTTAGAGGTCGCCACCAGAATTCGATTTTTTTTATATCGCAAAAATTCGATCAAAAATTTGAATTGAATTCTGATATATTTGACACATTATTGAAGCTTGAAAAGTCAAAATTTTTGCGATTTAAAAAAAATTCGAACGATGGTAGCGATTCCTAAAATTTTTTCTACGTAGAAAGAACAAAATAAGGGGGTGCTCCATGATGTCGGTATGTATTTAAAGAACTACCCTTAGGTTTTTAAAAATTTTGTCTTAACAATAATTACTGTGAACTGACAATACTACCGATTTCTTTCTTTTTACTTTTTTTTAGTTTAGTTACGATAAGTCTGTACATAGTAAAAAAATCCTAAAGCATCAGCAGAAATAATCACCGCAAATCATGTCATTACACATACACAAACAAAAGTATTCTACTGAAAAGTACGCAAGTTGGTAATATATTGCACGGTGCAAGGAAGAAATTTTATTTTTAAAATATGTAGAATACCTACTCTTTGTTCTCGTTTTCAAAACTACGAATTTAATTTTTTTCCAAACCGGTCTCAACCGGTTTTTTTCTTAAATATTTTTTTGCGGTTTATTGAAATCTTCATTTTTCAAATACCGAATAAACCCGGTTTTTACAATCGAATAAACCGGGTTTTCAACTAGTTTATGTACATATATAACAGAATATAAAAATTCTAAATATTTATTTTATCGAAAACGGAACTAGAAATTTTTTTATGAAGTTCATATCTAAATACTGGAAAAATTTTCAGAAAATTAGTTCAAAAATAAAAGGAAACCCGAACGAAAATCTTTGCATTTTTTGTTGTAGCAGCTTACAAAACCTTGCCTAAATCTGCGAGTCGACTACATGTTGTCTTCATTCTCATACGGCAGACTCAGTAAAAGGGCAGATGATCCGACAGGCTTGGGCAATGTGGGGAGGGATTATAGATGAGTTGATGTGAGTGGGCATGTCGTCGAGCATCTTGGACTGAACAATTTAAGATGCTACAATATCCAGAATGGAGTTGTGTCCAAGCAACAGGAGCCATCGTCTGCGATAGGTGGCGTTGGTCTCCGAAATAGGGAATTCAAGGGCGGAGAGTTGAAAGTGTTGATTGATTCTCGATAAATGCCATGTCTATAATTGACTATATTTGTATGTACGGCTTGATTCAGCGGATGGTGTATTTTCACTCCTATGATAGTCGGTTCCACATGCTCGAGGTTTTCCCAATCTTGTGAAGATCGGTAAACTCCATTAAGTGTGAATTTTTAAGCGACTTCAAAAAAGAAGAAGAAGGTTATCAATTCGTTGGAATATTTTTTTATGTATGTTACCGCATAACTCTGAACCACGTTTACCGATTTCGATAATTCTTTTTCTATCGAAGTAGTGTCGCCGAGGTAGTCCCATACTAATTTGGTTTAGATCCGATCATTGTATCCTGAAGAAATTAACGGTACTCCTAAATTCTTAAAAGAGAATTTAAGTCGGCTGTGTTTTTGCTTAAAAAACTTGTTTATTTCATTCTTTTTTTTTTCTGTTTTACTTGTAAGGTATCCACACACCTACGCGATTCTGTCGGTGCGAATCTTTTCCGACAAAAATTACAACAATGCCGACCATAATTTTAAATGAGGAACCACGCACTTGTAAGATTTTGCTGCAGCGATTTATTCGAACATTCACAGTTCTTCTTTTGGTCGTGCCGAAATCGCAGACTGCTGCGTTTTGAGAGCGAAAAAGGTCAATAGAATTGAATGCAAGAAAACAAAATATATTTAGGGCCGGTTACTCAATGTCTGGTTAACACTAATCTGCGGTTAAACATCTTTATCGACGTCTTCGGCTCCATGCATACAACAGGGAGTCGGTAACGTCGATAACTATGTTTAACCGCAGATTAGAGTTAACCAGACATTGAGTAACCGGCCCTTAATGTAGAAAAGTTAAGAATTTTATTTTTATTGGAAAATCCTTTTTTTTTGTCTATAAATTTACAGTTTTTGCTGCGATAAAATCGCACAGATGTGTGCATACTTGCGTTTTCGAAGCAGTAACGCCTGTAGCATCAAAAACGGTGCGGATTCGTTGCGACAGAATCGCATAGGTGTGTAGATGCCTGTAATCCAAAATACTTCGAACTCATTTTGCTTTATCAATTTCGAAATTTATTATATTTTACGAGTTCCTCCAAAACTTTTAAATTTTGGTTTCCATATATTTACTATGTGGGATTTAAAATTTTCTGGTGAATTTTTTTTCGGGCGACACTCAGGATAAGGCAGATTAAGATTTACCTGAGCTGAACCGATTTGAAAATAGCATAAAAAATCTCACTCTATTGATTCCGTTGATAAAATTTTCATACAGACCTTATGATGAGATATTTATTTTGGGAAAAAAATTTCTTATTTATATAAAATCGATTTTGAGGTATTTTTAAATCGATGCAGCTGACGTAAATCTTAATACTCTATCGAAATATTTTGGCAGAAGCGGAGAAACTGAATTTTTTTGGCGAGGCAGCCTTATGTACATATGTACATACTACACTCAAACAAGTGTTCAGTGTTGATTTTTTTAGCAAAAAAAAAATATTAAAAATCAACACGACAAAAATAGTATGGGCTATAAAAATGTTCCAAAGATTCAGATTAAAAAGCTGGAAATTTTTATTAAAATTTGTTGAATTTTCCTAAATTTTGTATGAATTTGAAAATTTTGATTTATATGGTTTTTGTAAAGACTTGGATAATATTTTTATAGAAATATAACAAAAACAGTAACCGGAAAAACATTGTGAATATTTAAAAAAAAAAAATTTGGAAATCGAAATTTTTTCTTGCCACATCTCGATTATAGCCTGTTCATTATTTTCTGCCCCTTGCTCACCTTAGGACTCATACTTTCTTTTTGTAATCTTCTGACCCTTTGGTATTGTCAAATTTTATTCTATAAAAACTATTGGCGTTAATTATTTTCCAAGACTTTCTTATTCTGTTATTTTTTACCGCACTTCAAAAAACGGAGGAGGTTATCAATTCATCCAAATTTTTTTTATTTTTTTTATGAACATATGTTACCGCATAACTTTGGACCACATTAACCGATTTCTATGATTCTGTTTTTAAAGAAAAGGTGGGACCCATATTAATTTGGTTTAGATCCGATCATTGAATGTGGTAAAAAATAACGGTACTCTTATATATTCATATGAGAACTGAAGTCGGTTTTTTTTTGCTTAAAAATTACTTATTTTGTTTATTTATCTATTCATAAATAAAATTTAGACATCTATATATAAATACGCCACAATAAAATTTTTCAATCCCTTTTTTGAAGACACCGTTCGCTCGATTACAATGAAACATACACCGAATTAAAGGATATAACTTCCTCTAATCCAGAAATGTTATTCCCGATACATAGGGGGCGTGGCATCTGACATATAGACTAAAATGTGAAAACCACTATATCTCTAAAACCAATTATGCTGGGGAACTGAAACTTAGCACAGATGCATAGATTGTAAATACCCTACTTACGGTGAAAAATGGTATGTACTGGGAAAGTGGGCGTGGCACTTCCCATACAAACTGAAATTCTCATATCGCTTATCTCTGGAACCACCTATGCTAACGTCCTGAAATTGGGCACAGCAACATATGTTGTCAATACCGTACTTTCGGCGAAAAGTGGTAGTTTTTGGAAAAAGGGCGTGGCACCGCCCATACAAACTGAAATTCTCATATGGCTTATCTCTGGAACCGCTTATGCTGACGTCCTGAAATTTGACACAGCAACATATGTTGTCAATACCGTACTTACGGCGAAGAGTGGTAGATTTTGGCAAGGGGGGCGTGGCACCGCCCATACAAACCGAAATTCTCGCATCGCTTACTTATGGCGAAAGTGGTAGATAACGGGAAAGGGGGCGTGGCACCGCTTATTAAAACTGAAATTCTCATATCGCTTATCTCTGGAACCGCCTATGCTAACGTCCTGAAATTTGACACAGCAACATACGTTGTCAATACCGTACTTTTGGCGAAGAGTGGTAGATTTTGGAAAGGGGGGCGTGGCACCGCCCATACAAACTGAAATTTTCATATCGGTTATCTCTGGAACCGCTTATTATAAGGTAATGGAATTATATACACCTACATTTATACACATATAAAATCGCAAGAATCATTCAATTGGTAACGATTTTCTCCCAGATTTTAAAATGGCATTGAATAATTGTTGTTTTGTGCAAAAGTTTTAAGAAGGATCAGTGTGTTTGCCTTCCGATAGATGCCGCAGGGATTGAGAGCTATCCTAAAAAATCATATTTATGATCAGATTTGTTTCACTTTTAGAACACATATAAG